TTTATCTCTTTTCTATTTACAAAAGCCATGTTTTATAATATTACTTCCTTGACTTATTTAGTGAGCTTTTTTTTTAATTTCCAGTACAGGAAAACAAAAATCTTTATATATATCCGAAACGTTATCTTTACTCTACTGATTATTAACGAATCTTATTTAACGAGACGTTTATTTTCCTCGTGCTCTTTCTGGCTCTCCTCAAAGCGCAGAAAAGAAGGACTTACCAGAATCTTTTCTGCCATCTGCTGAATCTGCTGCGATTTGCTCTGAAGCTCGTCTTTCAGCTTCGTCTCCCGGCGCTCAACAATCTCCAGCCTTTTCACTTGGTTCTCCAGGGTCTTCCTTCCATCCTGCGGATAAAAAAAACAAAGGATGTTAAAGGTTGTTGGAAAGACGCAGCAAAGATAGGACTTTTTCGCTTTTTTTCCCGTTATCGTCACACGGTCGTAAAGAAGAAGGTGATCAGACGTTAGAGCTCCGCTCCAGAGGTGCCGTTAGGGGATGATGGGGTAGTGGTTGCACCTGGAGACAACAAGGTCAGGCTCTGGAGCTATTCCATGTAGAAGCTGTGCTTACTAGCTGCAGCATGTAATGTATGGAGTTAATTTTGTTCCATTTGTTCCATTGTTGTAAATAACACAACAGAAAGAGACTGAACAAATTGGTGAGAAAGGCCAATTCTGTCCTAGGCTGCACTCTGGACTCGGTGGAGGAAGTGGCTGAGAGGAGGGTGCTCTCCATGCTTACACCCTGTTAGGACTCCTGTCTGTGTGGTTTGTGTGATTCACCTCCACAGACACACCTGCTAAGGGTTACCTCATTAACGGAGTGCTCTTAAGCTGCTGACTGCCACTACCTCGACGCCAAAGTGTTTGCCAGTTTTGGGTACTCTAGCCAAGTTTTGCTGAGTCAAACTGAGTTTTTGTTTAACTGAGTTTTAATCTTGGTATTTTTGTCTTTGCCTCTCGGCAGGAAGTCATCCTGCAAACTGGGCGTTTCTGACCTTCTCTCCCTGGAAGGATCAACTGAGCCTCAAACTGAGCTGGGGATTCAAACTGGAG